GGTATTTTAGTAGAGATGGGGTTTTACCGTGTTGCCCAGGCTGGTCTTGAACGCCTCAGCTCAGGCAATCTGCCTGCCTTGGCCTCCCAAAGTGCTAGAATTACAGGCGTGAGCCACCTCACCCAGCCTGTTTTTTATTTGTTTGTTTGTTTTGTTTTGAGACAGGGTCTCACTCTGTCACCCAGGCTGGAGTGCAGTGGCGCCATCGCTGCTCACTGCAGCTTTGAACTCCTAGGATCAAGCAATCCTCCCACCTCAGCCTTCCCAGTAGCTGGGACCATAGATGAGCACCACCATACTCAGCTAACTTGTATTTCTTGTAGAGATGGCGTCTCACTATGTTACCCAGGCTGGCCTTGAACTCCCAGGTTCAAGCGATCCTCCCTCCTCAGCCTCCCAAAGTGCTGGGATGACAGGCCTAAGCACCAGGCCTGGCCTGAGTTGTATTTTTAATATGGTAGTGTCTTTCCCAAAAAGTGGGTGTGGTGAACATCTTTTTTCTGCCCAGTACCTCCCCCTTTTTGGGGGCAACTTCTCCCCTCTCTGCTCAAACCGTGGATTTCTAGTGGCATTTTCTAAAATAACATCCTGGCCAGGCGCAGTGACTTGTGCCTATAATCCCAACACTTTTGGAGGCTGAGGTGGTCTGAGACCACTTGAGTCCAAGAGTTCAAGACCAGCCTGGACAACATAGTGGGACCCCAGAAGGCATTCGTTTACTGCCTTCTTTTTGAGTGTTTGTTGTTGTTGTCGTTTTGAAAAAGAGCTTCATCCTGTCACCCAGGCTCGAGTGCAGTGATGTGATCTCGGCTCACTGCAACCTCTACCTCCTAGGGTCAAGCCATTCTCCTGCCTCAGCCTCAGCCTCCTGAGTAGCCGGGACTACAGGCATGTGCCACCACACTCGGCTAATTTTTGTATTTTTAGTTGAGATGGGGTTTTACCCTATTGGCCAGGCTGATCTCAAACTCCTGGCCTCAGGTAATCTGCCTGCCTTGACCTCCCAAAGTGCTGGGATTACAGGCATGAGCCACTGCACCTGGCCTTGTTGTTACTGTTTTGAGACAGGCCTTGCTCTGTCATCCAGGCTGGAGTACAGTGGTACAGCTCACTGCAGCCTCCACCTCCAAGCCTCAAGCGATCTGTTCACCTCAGCCTCCCGAGTAGCTGGGACTACAGGTGCTACTGTAGTCCACACCTGGCTTTTTTGTATCTTCAAATATATATATATATAGAGAGAGAGAGAGAAATTAGCCAGGCGTGGTGGTGTGTGCCCGTGGTCCCAGCCACTCAGGAGGCTGAAGTGGGAGGATCATTTGAGCCCAGGAGTTCAAGGCTGCAATGAGCTATGACTGCACCACTGTAGTCCAGCCTGGGCAACACAGTGAGACCCTGTCTCTAAAGTAACATAAAATCCTAGCCAGGACCCTGGCCTCAGTGATTGGTCATGGGTCTGGGATGAAAGCTGAGCCAATCAGAATTGGAATTAGAGAAGGGTTTCTCTGTCCAGCCTGGTGGTGGAACTGGGAAGATGGGAGTCTGAGCATTGCCAGGGTGTGTGGCTCAAGCCTCTGGAGGAAATCCTCTGAGAAGGGGAAGTCAGTGTGCACGGGGAAGGGGAGAGGAGAGCTCAAAGGAGATCTGGCCTTTAGGGTCTCTGGGTCCTAAAGTCAGCTTGTTTAGGTTTGGAAACCGGCCGCATCTTTGCCTTGCCTGGAGTGTTGTCTGCCAGTAAGTCCCTCTTTTGTGCACACTCCTGATCAAATTGGTAGTACATCTTGTCATCCATAGTGTCTGGTTTTTTTTTTTTTTTTTTTTTTTTTTTTTTTTTTTTTGAGACAGAGTCTTACTCTGTCACCCAGGCTTGAGTGCAGTGTTGTCATCATAGCTCACTGCAGCGTTGCAGTGAGCTCCAGGGTTCAAGCCATCCTCCCACCTCAGCCTCCCAGGCAGCTGGGATTATAGGCATGAGCCACCATGACCAGCCATGTTTGATCTTCCAGTTCATCTCATTCCTTCTGCTCACTCATGACTTCTGCTCTACACACTGTCTACTTACTGCCTTCTTTTTGGGTGTTTTTTTTTTTTTTTTTTTTTGTTGTTGTTGTTTTGGGACAGGGTCTTATTCTGTCACTCAGGCTGGAGTGCAGTGACACAATCACAGCTCACTGCAGCCTCTATCTCCTGGGCTCAAGTGATCCTCCCACCTCAGCCTCCTGAGTAGCTGGGACTGTAGGAACATGCCACCATGCCTGGCTGATTTTTGTATTTTTTTTTTTTTTCCATAGAGACAGGGGTCTTGCTGTGTTGCCCAGGCTGGTCTCGAACTCCTGGCCTCAAGCAGTCCTCCTGCCTTGGCCTCCCAAAGTGCTGGGATTACAGGCACAAACCCCCACATCCAGTCTGGTGCTTCTAGATTCAGTCTCCCATGCCAGACACTCTCACTATGAGAAAGGATGTCACAATTCAATTGACCACAGTTTCTCTGACACCAGGGTACCTAACAGGCTGTGGACCAGTCAGCAGACCAGCCGTTCTTTGGTCAGGCACTTCTCTCTGGTCCAGTCAGCTGTGGTCAGCTTTTATCAGAAGGGGACATAGTTGCGGAGGGATTTAACAGACTCTCCATCCACTGTCTCAGTGCTTCTGTACCTGTGTCTGTAGTCAGGCGAGAGAGTGCAGCCTTAGCTCCCCCCAGTGCTGGTATGCAAGGAGTCTCCGCTCAACCAAACCTGCCCACCAACAGGCCTCTCTTGTGTCTTTTTAAGAAAATGAATGAATATCTTCTCCCAGAGTCTGTGGACCTGGAGTGTGTGAAGCACTGCGTGGTATACGATAACAACACCAGCACTCTGGAGGTGCTCTTAAAAGATGACGATGATGGTTCAGACTCGGATGGTGCTGGCAAAGGTGGGTTTTCCGTGACAGCAGCAAGAATAATAGTAACGGCTGTTGGACAAATTTGTTATAGGACCAAAAGGTTTGTATGCCCGTGGCGGGGCAACAGGCCAGTTACACTTAGACAGCAGGGTTTGCGTCAGAGAAAGAGCTTCATGATCACAGGAGATGGGAGGAGGCCCTCAAATCCATCTCCCCAAGGAGCTGTGGAATGGGTTTTGTTGGTGGTGGTGGTGGTGGTTTTTTGTTTTGTTTTGTTTTGTTTTTTTGAGACGGAGTCTTGCTCTGTTGCCAGGCTGGAATGCAATGGCACTATCTCTGCTCACTGCACCTTTGCAACCTCTGCCACCCTGGTTCAAGTGATTCTCCTGTCTCGGCCCCCCAAGTCGCCAAGACTACAGGTGCACGCCACCATGCCTAGCTAATTTTTGTACTTTTAGTAGAGACAGGGTTTCACCATGTTGGCCAGGATGGTCTCAATCTCTTGACCTTGTTATCTGCCCACCTCAGCTTCCCAAAGTGCTGGGATTATAGGCGTGAGCCACCGCACCCGGCCAGAATGGGGCCTTTAAGGGGATTGGGGAGGGTGAGGGGCTGGAAAGTTGGGGTTATTGATTGGTCGAGGAAAGGGAATGAAGTCATTGGGATGTGAAAACTGCGTTCTTTGGTGAGTCAGCTCTTGGGGGGCCCTTCAGACCAGCTGTCAGTGGTTTCATCGGTGTGCAGGACCTGAAATAATATCTCCAAGGGAAAACAGTGTTTCATGACATTCAAGTTGTTATCTACAGAGCAGGGAAGGGGAACTGTGTTCTTGTAACAGGGTCTGTGTGATTCCAGGACAATCGGCATCAAGTAACTGTGAGCAAGGAGGTTGCAGAGCAAGCAAGGTGACCTAGTCAGGAAGGCTGAAGGTGCTGCCAGCTGCGCTTATTGTCATTTGTTTCCCTACTTCCTTTCCTGATTAATTTCAGAACATTTATGGGGACAGTTTCACGTGTGCCATGCGCCAGGAAGCAAGTGCTTCACCTGGATCTGTTCACGTAGTCTGCAGAACAACTTAGAGGGATACTAACATCAAGAGCTGTGAGGGTGCCAGGCCCAGTGACTGATACCTGTAATCCCAGCACTTTGGGAGGCTGAGGCAGGAGGATCACCTGAGCCCAGGAGTTCAGGACCAGTCAGAGTGATATGCTGAGGTCTGGCGCCCAGCTCATTCATTTCCTTTTTTGTAGGGACTGGGTCTTGTTGTGTTGCGTAGGCTGAGACTTCAGCTTTTAAAAGTGTGTGGACATATTTTTAAACCATCACGCCTGTAAGTGGTGGGGACGGGATTCAAACCCAGACCTTTCGGCTCTGTCTTGTCTCCTGGGGATTGGGAGCGTGCAGCCCCGAGTCAGAGCAATAAAGCGCGGTCAGTTCCAGTGTGCCCCATTGAACCTCTGAGGCTCTGCTGTGTTCTTCATGAGCCCCTAGTTTTGGGCTGACCGCTGGGAGCTCTGCTTCTAGGAATCAGTAGCCAATGAACATGGTTGTGTGCAGTTACAGAAGCTGGGCGCACTCACACTAACTGCCACTAGGTGGCGCTATGCTCACACCTTTCATAAAACCAGCGGTCTGGACTTTCTTCTCAGGAGGTCCTTGGCCAGGAAATTCTCCCTCTTTTCCTACTCATCTTGTGGGGCTCTGGTCTGCAATCTTAGGACTGTAGGCTGGACCTTGAAATCCTAGCAGATGGTGCTCAACAGGGATAATCCCCTTCATGTTCTGTAACTGATCTCACTTTGCTATGGGGCCCCCATTCACAGGAAACCACAACCACGCGGACAACTTGGGCACTGAAGGCGTCTTTTCTTGTTTCAAATGTCATCCTTCAGGTTATTGCAAAGTCTTTGGGGTTACAAGACCATCTCAAGGCTTCTCTGAACACCCCCTCTTTCCTTTTTTTTTTTTTTTGGTCAGCGTCTCACTCTGTTGCCCAGGCTGGTCTTGAACTCTTGGCTTCAAGGAGTTGTCTTGTATTGGCCTCCCAAAGTGCTGGGATTACAGGCATGAGCCACCATACCTGGCCTGGACTCTGACTTCTGAGCCAGGCCCTGTGGGGGGGCTTTGGCTCCTGTCTTGACAGCTGCAGATTTTCTCTCAGCCTGGCTGCAGACTCCAGATTCTTCCTCTCAGTGCCATCTCTGACAGGTCTCAGCCACTTAGATCCTCCTCAGCCCCTTCTGGAATTGTCTTTGTCTCCCTGAACAAAAATTCAATATGGAAGCAAAGTTGGCCAGGCACGGTGGCTCATACCCGTGGTCTCAGCATTTTGTGAGGCTGAGGCATTAGGATCACTTGAAGCCATGAGTTTGAGACCAGCCTGGGCAACATGGCAAGGCCTGGCTCTACCAAAAAATACAAAAACATTTAGGAAGGGATGGTGGTACACGCCTATAGCCCCAGCTACTCAGGAGGCTGAAGCAGGAAGATCACTTAAGCCCAGGAGGTCAAGGCTGCAGTGAGCTATGACTGTACCACTGCATTCCAGCCTGGGTAACACATAGTAAGACCCAGTCTCAAAAATAAATAAAACTTTTTTTTAAAACTTGTTTTTTATTTTTATTTTTTTGAGACGGAGTTTCACTCTTGTTGCCCAGGCTGGAGTGCAGTGATGTGATCTCAGCTCACTGCAACCTCTGCCTCCTGGATTCAAGCGATTCTCCTGCCTCAGCCTCCTGAATAGCTGGGATTACAGCCATGTGCCACCACATCTGGCTAATTTTTGTATTTTTAGTAGAGATGGGGTTTTGCCATGTTGTCCAGGCTGATCTTGAACTTCTGACTTCAGGTGATCTGCCTGCCTCATCCTCCCAAAGTGCTGGGATTACAGGTATAAGCTGCTGTGCCCAGCAGTTTTTTTTTTTTTTTTCAAAGAAGTTAGAGTCTATGTTCTTTCCTTTATCCCTTTATCTCGCTCTCTGAAGTCCATTGCACGATATTCAATATTTCTGTTTCTGGGTTAGAACCTGGCCTCAGGATATTTTGGCTTAAGGATGTCTTGGCTTAGCCCTAATTATGCAAGCTTCCTGTCACATATGTCTAATTCGCATGCAGTCTAATTGTGATTCTGCTGATTGATGAAGGCGTTTTAGATTAAATTGATGTCAAAACCTCAGTGAGATATCATTCACACCCACTAGGATGGTCATAATCAAAGAGACGGATAATAAGAAGTAGTGTTGAGAACATGGAGAAATTGGAAGCCTCATACACTGCTAACCACAAAGTAAAATGGTGCAGCCACTGTGGAAAACAGCTTGGTGTTTCTTCAGAAGGTTAAGATATAGACCCCAAAGAAATGAAAACACAACTACACCAAAGCTTTTACATGAATGTTCATAGCAGTGTTATTCATAATAGCCAAAAGGCACGAGCAACCCAAGTGTCTATCAGTACTTAATTGGGTGGAACAGAATGTGGTCTGTCCACATGGTGGAATATTACTCAGCCATAAAAAGGAATGAGGCTGAGTGCAGTGGCTCACACCTGTAATCCCAGCACTTTGAGAAGCCAAAGCAGGCGGATCACCTGAAGTCAGGAGTTCAAGACCAGCCTGGCCAACATGGTGAAATCCCATCTCTACTAAAAATCCAAAAACTATCTGGGTGTGGTGGCAGGTGCCTATAATCCCAGCTACCCGGGAGGCTGAGGCAGGAGAATCGCTTGAACCTGGGAGGCGGAGGTTACAGTGAGCTGAGATCGTGCTATTGCACACCAGCCTGGGTGACAGAATGAAATTCCATCTCAA